GTCGCACAGCGGGCGGAGAGCCCAGCCGGCCTTACCGGACGCCCGGTTCTTTTCTTGTGCGGCGCGCACCGCCCTAGGATGGTCGCAGCCTAACGCTCTGCGCCGTTCGCCTCTCCCGGGAACCCTCAAGCAACCGGCAGCCTCCGGCGATGGCGTCGCCCAGGGCGGGAGGAGAGGCACCAGCGACCTTGTCCCGCGGCTGAGTCACTAGGGGACGCTCGGGATTCGCGGTCCGCAAGGCCGGGTTGGGCTCGGCTGCCCTGGCCCTTGCCTGAGACCTCTCTGGTCCACCGGCCCGCCGGAAATGTCCTCCCTGTCCTCTGAGAAGTCGCCCCTAAGCTCTTTCCAGACTTGGGGATACTGGTGATAAAGCTGCGGGTCGAGTGAGTCCCTGGCCACTTGCGTGGTACCTTCACCCACTAGTGTTGGGTGTAGTGGTGTTTCGTGTGTCGGATGACATACTCTGTTCAGTATCATCTGGTGCCTCATTATCTCCCGCGTCCAAGTCTTGTTCATTGTTCCTGGGCACACCTGAGGTATGTGCGTGTTAACCCCTTTGAATTTTCAGCAGTACTTTGTTCGGACCTCTTATGGATTTTTGCTGGATACCAGTTGATCCGTCCCCCATGTTAATTTTCTTCAAAACCCCAATGCGGGCTCAGTGAACCCCTTTGGAGCCAGGTCTTATGCCAGCGTGGCTCTGCCAAGCTGAGGTCTATTGCCTGCAATCTGGGAACGTGCAAAGCTGGTGTGAGTTGCCTCAAGTATCAACAGATGTAAGAGCTTTTGGTAAGGTCCCTGCTTTCCTATCCAAGTCACCTACCTCAACATTTGAGCTGGCCCCCGAAGCCCAAGAGTTGCACCCATCGGAGCAAGGGGGTGGGGACACGCCCAGACGCTACAGTGCCGCTGGCTCTTAAAGAACACATAGATCTTTTTAATTTGTAAGCAGAACAGTTTCACTCAGGAAAGGAGCAGGAAGAAAAGCACACTGTCTTATAGGAATCCAGCATTGGAGAAATGAGGAAATTCTTCCAAGGATTGTCTCCCTCTTTCAGTTCATCTGATGCAGTATGTTGATTGTTTCTTGGTTCCCCGGATTGAACCCAGGGTTGTTTAATCACTGAGCCACAGCCTCAGGTCCTTTTTTTTTTTTTTTTTTTGCTAAGTTGCTCAGGGCCTTGCTAAAGTGCTGACTTTGGCTTTGAACTTGCAATCCTCCTGCCTCAGCCTCCAAAACCCCTGCAATTACAGGCATAGTGCACCCACTGATGCAGTGTGTTTTGATGTTGGTATCACAGTTATCCAAGAAGAAGAAATTGATAAGCTGGCCAAATTCTGTGGAGTTTAGTGTCAGAAATGACACAAGCCTAGGTGGGTTATTGCCTTCAAAGCTGTTCTCACTGAGGACTTAGCACTGATCCAGCCCTCCAGGAAGCAGGTGCCAAGGCTCTCAGAGCACCACTGCCCCATCTGACACACACACACACACACACACAAAGGTAGATGGTAAATTGCCTACAAATATGAAACGTTCAGATTTTCCCAATATCTGATGGCTTTAGAAGTATTGTAGAGCATGTTACTTCAAAGCTCAATATGCCAGCAACCAATATATCTGCCAATAGGCTGAAATTCTACTTTAATAGGAATACACAGGTTTTGATGAGACACAGCCAACAGTCCAATCTGGTGGGAAAGGAAAAATACTAAATTTTTAAAAGAAAATTTCTACTTCAAGAAAATAATCATGATTAGAGATGTAGCTACAGATATGGAAGCCTGTCCTCCTGCTGACGTTTTCATTGGGTTTAGAGGAAATGTGATTGGTCAACAAGTAAAGGACACTGCCAAATGGCAGGTACATCACTGATTTTTGTAGAGCTTTTGGGAGAACTAAAGGATAATTTCAATTTTTATACAGCTTGTTACAACTTCAGATTAATTTTTTTAAGTTGTACAGATTGATACTGTTTGCATACATTTGCCTATAACAATAGAGGTGGTATTGATTTTCTGTATGTTCAAGTAAATTATAGGACTCCTAAAAGATTGCTTTTTTTTTTTAACTTTTGTTACTATATTATTAATCTGTATTCCTTATGTATATTCCTGGCTATAATTTTATTTGATGCTTTTTAAAGGTATAGAGTAAAATAAACACAATGTAGATTCAGCAGCCTTAAGTGAATATTGGTTTTCCCTTAGATGGATAAAATTTTATTTATATACCAATGGGGCGGGGAATCCCAATTCTACTAGGCCAAATAATGACACGGGCAATTCCAGGTAGGAATGAAGCAGAGGTGAAGAAAGGATCTGATGTCTTGCTGATATCCTGTAAACTCACCCAGTGCTGTTTTCCTGGCCTGGGTACAATTGTGCAGCAGCAAATGAGTGGTAGACCTGGGCCTCACCAGCCTCCATAACCCAGGCCACTCTCTGAGAGCTAGATCCTGGTGGTATTGTTCCTTGCTTTTGTCCACAGCATGAGACTCTTCCTGGAAGACATCCTGAGAAACAGATGAGTTCTGTGTAGATATTTGAGAATTATCCAGCTCAAAGCCCTCGAAGTTCAAGCTACTGGGCAGCATTGAACCAATGGAAGACAGAACATCCCCCTCTCGCCT